CCCCCCCAAGCCAACATCTAAAAACCCTGGACCCCCCCCCTCCCCCAACCTTTCCCCAACCCCTTCCCAACCCCCAACACCCTCGTCCAAAAGAACTTCGCCATACACCCCCCTCAAACCACCTCCCCCCTTGCCCCATTCTCCCATCATCCTCCCCCCTCAGCTCCCGATGACCCCTCATCCCCTGCCGCCCGCCCAGCCACTCATACACCGCATCCGGCAGCGCTCCCACCACGCCCATCATCCTTCCCACCCACCACGGCCGCGCCGCGAACCACCCCCGCCACCCGCCCAGCGGCGCCGCCCCCGTCACCCACACGCTGGCGCACAGCTCGGGGAACCGCCGCGCGAGGTCCAGCGCCACGAAGCCGCCCATGGAGAGGCCGACCACGTGCGCGCGGCCGTGGTGGGCGTGGGTGCGGATGAGGGGGGCCAGGGTGTCGGCGAGAGCGGGGATGTGGTAGTTTTGCGGGTGGGGTGGGGTGTTGGGGTGGAAGGAGCGCGAGTGGCCGGGGAGGTCGACGAGGAGGAGGTGGTAGTTGGAGAGGAGGGGCGTGACGTGGGCGTATTCGAAGTGGGAGGAGAGGAGGCCGTGGAGGAGGAGGATGGTGGTGGGTTGGTCTGGGTTGAGGGAGAGGTGGAAGGGTGGGGGGTGCTGGAAGGGGGTTGGGGGTGGTTGTGGTTGTGGTGGTGAAGAAGAGGGAGGGGCTGGGATGGCGGTTGGATCGAGCCCCGTTGCTGAGAAGGCTGCGTCGGCCATGTTGAAGGGATGGAGGGACTAAGATGGCATGAAGGTATGTAGATTGCTCAGAGCCCAGTGAGTCCAGCTGCTAAAGGGCCTTAAAAGCAATGCGGTGGTGATGGTTTTCGTCACTTTCTAGCGTCACGCTTGCGCGTCTCGGGGTTCAGGGCGTAACTTTGCGCCGTGCTGACTTCGGCGCCAAGATTCGAGTCAGCAGTGAGGGTTTGGCGAGCTTGATGTCTCGATAACATGATCCTTCATAGGTAATAATCAAGGTGGAATGACTTTAACCTGCACGGATCTTGTGATGGTAGGTTATTTGTGATAGGTACGTGAGAAGGAATTAAATATTTATTTGAAACGCTGGTGGCCGTAATCATGCTCCCCTCTAAATTGAAGCCTTCTACTTTTGTCAAAAAACCTCCCCCAACCGTGTGTTGCAGCTCCAGCCAAGAGCCTAACGTCGAAGACCAAACAGTGATTTGCCCAAAAACAAAACAGGATGTGGCCTGCCCAAGGGGCCACCCTGCCACCGCACGCCCTCACCCCCTGGTATCAATCATCGGGTTGACAGACTCCTCCGCTCAACCCTCCACTCAACATCCGTCCGCTGCCGTATCCCACCACTCGGAAACCCATCCTCATCCTCCTCACCACTCAGCGGCGTGGGCGTCCTCTCCCTCCCACCCCCACCACCCCCACCAAAATTCCTTTCCAAATCCCTCTCCTCATCACTCCCCCTCCTCGCCGCCCCTGCCCCCGCCCCCGCGCCGGCAGCCGACGGCGACGGATCGGCATGCACGGTCACGCGCACGCGGCCCGCCACGGCCTTGGGCACCAGCTCGAGGTCGTCGCGCGAGTGGGCGGGCTCGCTGTCGGGCCCGCTCTCGGCGATGCGGTCCCAGTGCGAGCCCAGGCTGCGCCCGCCGCTGTGCTTGGCCCCGCCGCCCTTGCGCCCGCCCGTCCCGCCGATGGTGACGATGCCCGCGCTCGAACCCTTGAGGTATGATGAAGGGCCGCCGCTCTTGGAGCCCCCGGTGCTGGACGGCCACGCGGATTTCCAGAGGTCGCGGACGAGGGGGCCCTGTTGTGTTGGGGGTTAGATATATGTACGGTCTGGAGTTGCTCATGTTGTTGTTTGGGGTGGAAGGGGGGGTGAGAAAGGGGGTGGGGGGAAGGGACTGGAAAAGGGGGTGGGGAGGAAAATGCTTACCAGTGTGGGCAGGCATGCTGATACGATGCCGCTGCTGATCTCGATAATGTTCCAGGCGCAGGGGTCGGCTAGCGACCATGGCACGTCGTCGGTCGTGTAGTCCAGGTACACGCGGAAGCGGTAAATGCTGGTGAAGACGACGTAACTTCCAAGGGAGAAGACAAACACGAGCAGCGCTTTTTGCAGGATGTTGGTCTTGAGCCGCAGCACGTGGGGTAGAGGGAGGCAGAGGATGGCGATGTCGCAGAGGATGCTCGGGACTGAGATGCACAGCTGCGTGAGGAACAGGTCGATGCAGGTGCCCTCGAGCCATGGCATCCACAGCCTCTGGCGCGGCGTGCATTGCCAGGTGGCGGCTAGGATGCAAGCAATGTTCCAGGCCGTCGAGATGCCGCCGCAGATGTAGCCGCCCAGCCGAACGGAGCGGATGGGGAAGACGCGGAAGTAAAAGAACAGCAACGAGATCTTGTACAGATTGACGCCGGTGACGTAGATGATTTCGGCGCCGACGAGGGTCTACAAGACCGTCAGTATCCACTGGCGGTAATGGATATCGGGAAATGGTGCTGCGCGTGCATACCTCGTTCAACTTCTGCAGTTGCGGAAGGGTCAAGGCGCCTGAATGGAGTCCCAACCCCATCTTGATGAGCTCCAGGTTCATGATCATGTTTCCGATCAGCACCACGAAAGCAGCCACCATCATCCAGTCGTCTATCAGGATCCGGGCGGACTGTCGATAGCGGGCGAGAAAGCGTAACGCCACGAAGACGCCCGCGAAGACGGTGAAGGCTATCGTGACATCCCGAACGTAGCCCCTCGAGTCCTCTGTCAGGTCCTGTTTGGCGGCGAAGTCCATCAATAGCTGCAGGTACGCGCGTTCGGCTTCGGACCGGGAAGTGTCGTTGACCGGATACACCACCGGTGTCGGTTTTGCCGGCAATGTCATTGTCGGCTGTCCTCTAGGGATGCCCTCGGCTTGGATCCACGAGTCCCGTCTCTATGTCACTCTGAGGTTGTCACAGAGCAGCACAAAAGCCAAGCTGGGAGATGGGGACGGATGGAGCAGTCACCCATGCTTCCAAGGGCGACATCTGCCGCTATAAAGTCTGGACTCTGCAGCAACCCGGCAGCCTGGGACGCGAATCTCGGATCGATCGTCGTTGGAAGGGCACGCGATATGCCTTTGTCTTGGGATCTTAGCCCCTTGGCGAGGCTTCAAGATAGGCAACTGGTGCGCAAGATGTCGTGCACCACCATTGCTTTTGCAAACTCTTGAGCCAGTTTTTACCCTCGTGTCTGTCTTCCCAACATCGCAGTTTTTCTGTCTACTGGCGAGGCCCGGATGACATTCCCCAGAGCGGTAAAGAGGAATTGCCTTTCGTGGGGAAGGATCGGCAGTGCAGGCATCCAAAACCCTCCGGCTCCAAACCACCGGCGTTCGCTTCCCACAAGGGCGAAGAGCGAAACTGGGTGTTCATGGCGTCGTGGGTTAACTCCACACCGCCCACACCACGTTTTCTTCAGCCACTAATCGAACGTGGTCGCGCAGGAGTTACCAGGGGCAGGTTACGGCTAGCCCCGAGCTCGCCCCATTCAACAAATTGCCGCGGACCCCGGAACAAGAGCTAGCAAGGGCCCGCATGGAGCTAAGTGAGTACCAGCTCCACAGGGTTTCCAATAGTATCCCCCCTCAACAGCGAGATGGCGATAAGCCATTATGCCCACCTGAGGGGTCCTGAGCGGGGGAGTTCGTGTGTTACGTCTCCCTCGAAAGGGGCGTTTGTCGCCGTTAGCCAAGATAGTTAAAGGTCGACAACGCTGCCAAAGGCTCGCCGATCCCGCGGTATCTGCAACTCTCTCAGGCTTTCCAATCCTTCGGTGATCTGCATTGTAACACCAGCTGCTCGGACTACAGCTGCAGGTCCCAAGTGCTCGGATATACATAATAAGGGGGTGACTAAAGAACCAAAAATGCAGCAACTCACCCGCCTCCTCCAAGTCTTCATCCTGGGCATCCTATTCGCCTCCGCCATGGCCGCCGCCACCAAGCCCACGATCGTCATCGTCCCCGGCTCTTGGCAACTCCCTTCCGCGTGGGACGAGTTCCGGTCCGTACTCGCCCAGGCCAACCATGAGTCGCACCACGTCCCCCTCCCCAGCGTGGGCGGCACCGACCTGCCCCTGACTGGACTGCCTGAAGACGTTGCCGCCGTCCAGCAGGTCCTCGCCGGGCTCGCCGACCAGGGCAAGCAGATCATCCTGCTCTGCCACTCGTCCGGCGGCGTCGTCGGCAGCAACGCCGTTGAAGGTTATGATGTGGCTGCCCGTCAGGCCGCCGGTAAGGTCGGCGGTGTCGTCCGCATCGTCTACCTCTCCGCCTTTATGCTCCCCAAGGACCAGAGCTTGCTGGGCATGCTCGGCGGAACCCCCCTGCCGTGGATGATTGTTCAAGTAAGTGCACGACACACCCAGCTGTCAGAAATGTTTGCTAAACAAAACCGCAGGACGACCGCGTCATCGGCAACCCCGACATGATGCCCGAGGTCGGCTTCAACGACCTGCCGCCCCAGGAGGCGACGTACTGGGCGCAGCAAACGACCTGGACCTCGGCGGCCCTGTTCGCGGCCCCGTCCCAGTTCGAGCCCTGGAACAACGGGATCCCGGGCGCCTACATCTTCCAGACCATCGACAACGCGCTCCCGTACGACCTCCAGCAAGGCATGGCCCAGCAGCTGGCGGCCGGGCCCGACCCGCGCCAGGCTACCATCGAGACCGGCCACTGCGGCTTCCTCAGCCAGCCTGGCGCGTTGTTGGGCGCTCTGAAGGACGTCATTGGGGGGAACTGAGCGAGGGTGTGTCGGGGCCAGTATTGATGGAGGACTGGACTCGGGGATGCTGTCAATGGGCACGGGGTAATAGGTTGCCATATGTAAATCGCAAATCACTTGACTGTCCTGACCTGATTATGTGTGGGAGTACTGGCATGCAGGACTATAATGACAATCCTTGTGATACCGCGAGTCGAGAGAAAGGGCAGGGTGGCTACCTATGTGGCCGGCTGCAAGATGGCGATGCTCACTCCTGGTATCTTCATCTTCCCTTCCACGCTTCGACTAGCATGACGAGACCCGTCCGGTGAAAGCCTGACGTAGACTTAGATTGACATGGAAGGGGCTGATTCAGGGGTTAAGCGAATGCAAGCCCGGCTGGATGCCGGGGAGGAAGATGCCGAGGAGGATCACGCCGCATATCTTGGCAAGAAATGGCGTGCAAGCCATTTGCCAGCGGACTGGTCAAACCCCTGTCTTTGAACGAGTCATGACCTTTCCAATCAGCCACTGTTATTCTCGGGTGTAAGCTGAAACATCCCTACCAAGCCATCATAATGATCTGAGACAAGTCAGTTCACCTCACTGCCAACTAACCACCAACCATGATACATCAATAGCCAGAGAAGGGAGAGTAAGGGGAAGCGAGTGTGGTGGTTAAGAATTCGTTGCAGGAGGCGGCATTATATGTACATACTACCAAGTGCGATATCTCCCTTAACAGAACCGGCTCCCGTTTTGGGATTTGCGACATGATCGCTGCCCGCAGTAAGACTTCAAACCCGAGGGTGGTCACCGGCTTCATGTTGCCGAAGCTGCAGGGCCGGAACACGACGCAAAGACATGATATGATCATCTTGGAGATTCGTCGAGGCACCTATACTACATGTACATGCAAGTACTTCTCTTCGGCAGGCATTGACATTTGAACCCAAGGCGATGGCTAATAGCTGACAAGTTGATAGGTAATTGTTCGTCAGCCCTGAGTGGAATGTCACCGATCAAGAACACAAAAGAGCCAATGGGAACGCGGACAATGTTGCATTCCGCTCTAGAAAAGAGTCCGAGGAGACAAACGCCATCCCGTCTCCCGAGGATTGATAATCAAGGTGTGTTTGTCGTTAATCATCGCGGAATCAACTACCAAACGTGAGTTCAAATATGAGCCTTACGCCTATGGAGATGGATGTTCGCTTATTGCTAACGAACAATAACAGTTCTCGCCCAGCGCTGGTATAATCCACTCCCCGCAGCTTACATCCATATCACGGCCACACCCTTCAACCCCGCTCACTCATCCTCAACGTCAACATGGCCGACTACCCTGAAATCCGCGCAAAGGTGGCTGCCGACCTCCAAACCAGGTTTGACCGCGTCGATGTCACCTACAAGACGGTCAACAACGTGTCCCTCCAAACCGCCATCTTCGTCCCCAAGACAATCTCTTCTCTCACCGAGGCCACCGCCGCGCCGGTCCTGGTTCACTTTCACGGCGGCGGCCTAATAACAGGCGCCGCTCTCGACCTCCTCTTCCTCGTAGACTGGTTTTCGTTCTACTCTCCTTTAACCTCAATTCATGTCAAATCTCAGCGGGCCTCAACTACCTCTTGAATCTCTCTCTCTCTCTCAAATCCCCCCACCCACTCCAAACAACCCCCAAACCTAACCCAAACCAGGGTCCGCGACCTCGCCCACTCCACCCGCACCATCTTCCTCTCCCCGCACTACCGGCTCGCGCCCGAAACCCCCGCGGTGCACATCCTCGACGACATCGCCGACTTCTGGGCCTGGGTGCACAGCGCCCACCTCCCCGCCACCCTGATCACCCACTGGCCGCACCTCACCGCCGACCTAACCCGCCTCGCGGCCGTGGGCGAAAGCGCCGGCGGCTACCTGGCCCTGCAGTCCGCGCTGCAGATGAATCAGGCGGCGCGGTTGAGGGCGGTGATCGCGCAGTATCCGGGGATTTTTCCTGATTTGGCGGCGTTTAATCCGCGGCCGGCGGAGCCGGATGCGGGGTTGGATAAGGTGGTGGAGGGGTATGTGAGCGGGTTGGAGGCGGGGGTGGTGAGGGTGTCGACGGCGTGGCCGGGTTTCGCGGAGGTGACGATGGCGGCGATGCGGAATGGGCTGATGAGGCGGTTGTTTGGGGAGGATGGAAAGGGGAGGTTGACGCTGGGGTATGCGTTGGGCAAGGCGGAGCAGGTGCCGCCGGCGATGTGGGTCATTCAGGGGACGGAGGATGGGTTGGTGGCGAAGGGGGCCGCGGATGAATTGGTGGAGAGGGTGAGGAGGGAGAGGCCCGGGGCGGTGGTGAAGTATACGGTGCGGGAGGGGGATCATGGGTTTGATGCGGGGAGTTCGTTGGGGGATGAGTGGGTGGCGGAGGGGGTGGAGTTTGTTAAGGGGTATTGGTTAAAGTAAGGGAGATGTTGTGGTGGAGGAGTGGTTGGTGTTTGCTTCCAGTTAGCAGCGATACTCTCGGGAACTCTATCAAATCACCTTTCAGATTGGCGCACCAGGCCATACGTGCCCGAGAACTGTTTCTTCTGGGTGGAAATCGGAGAAGATTGCAATTCGGCCCCTCTTCCGCACTACGGAATGTAAGAACAGTGGCAGAGTGGGAGCCTACAAAGGATAACAACAAAACCCAAGTGCTGTGGGCATTTTTGAAACCTCTTGCCGGTTACGGCTGCAAGCTCGCCCCGGAGAATGACACTGGGGGCGGCAGTGGAAGCGGAGGGCGGCATCAGATGGACACTTGGCAACATAATGGCCCTCTCCAAGATTTACAAACATGAGGGGGATCTCTAATCCCCACTTGGCTATGGCTTTCTACTTTGCTGTCCCTGTAGAATTGCCGCGTGCTCATAGCCAACCATGCCCGGTCCTCGGGATTGTCCTGGGGAGAGGAAGGCTACTCAATGTCCAGCCGTGTTCCATAACTATGAGCGAGCTGGTGATGGATGAACTCTGCGAAGTGCAAGGTATCTTGGATGAATATTGGCGGCCATTGTGAAAGCGAAGTGAGCAAGCCAAATCTGTGGGACTGGAGAGAACTCCGATGAACTAATTATAATTAAGTATTACTGTAGTTCGTCTCTAGTCAGCCACGAGTCCAGACTCGAGTGGCAGTGCGTGAAAAACTATATACAACCGGGAGTCTCGACAGAGAACTCGACAGTAAATCTTTGTATGTATAGTCGATAAGGTGGCCATCTAATACCGCCAACTGAACCACCGACAATCCAACCCCCAGACAATATCAGATACGCCCTCGTGACGAAGTCGCCAAGTCGTCCCCCTCCTCTCCGTCAGGGCGTGGGCGGGGCTACCCACGACGAACACGACGACAACGAGGCCAACGAGGCCGACGATGTCAACGATGGTAACGATGTCAACGATGGCACTGATTTCAATGATGCTGGCGATCCGGATGTCAGCCGTGGTGGTGGGGTCATGGGGCCACACACCGTCTCAATCCTTGCCGTAAGTTACGTGACTAAGCATACCCGACGTTGGGAAAGAAGCTGTTACGCCATCCGCCATGACTGTCTGGACGCCGGACCAGCGGAGGTTGACACGCCCTTCCCATACCATGGCCAAGCAGGAGACGGCGGGGTTATCGGCGCTCATGGCAATGGTGGTACTCCAACTCAACTGGGTCGCGCTTCCCGAATGCTGGTCATAGTTTTGCGTGGTCCCCTGGCCCCAAGTGGCGCCAAATCCCGTGTCGAGGACGCGGGGGAGCGATGCCGTGAACGTCGGCGATACCGAGAAGGCGCTGTTGAATCCGGCCGAAAAGGTTGTTGACGCGTCGCGGATATCGATGCCCGAAAAGTTCCAAGTGTAGTCGGTTCCGTTCCAGACCGCGCTGCCCTCTCTCAGAGTTGTCAATCGGAGACCGTCGGGGTCGGGGGTTTGTTCGAAAACGATATTTTCGACGACAGAAGTCGACAACGGCTTGAGAAAGATCGGGCCGATCTGGTCCATATTATCGTTCCCTGCCCTCCCCTTGAACCCAACCAGAAGGCCAGAGCCCACGTTTACCTCCTTGCTGGAGAGCCTGGCTGTGCCGTCCATCCCGTAACCCCAGGAGCGTTGGCTGGTGGTGATGCTGATTCGGCCGACGCGTACGGCGGAGGCGTCGGTGGCCTTCCGCCAAAAAGAGAAGAACGTCTTAGATGAGGGATAGTAAGCCCACAATGTCATGCCGGTGATTAGTTCGTCGTCGGATAAGGTGAACTCGGAAAACTCGTCCTTGCGGACGCCGGCTTGCATCTCGGTTCCGTCGGAAAAAACGACGACAAGCCCACGAATGTATCTAACTCTTCCACTGTTGCGGTACAGTCGCATCGTCCGCACTGACGAACCCGGGCGGCCGAGGATGGTGAAGGGAGCACCCCCTTCGGTAGATCCGACGCTCGTGGGACTAACACAGAGTTGAGGATCCCATGACTCCGCGGAGGAGTATCCAACAACGGAAGCGTAGAAGCGGAAAAGTGTCACCAAACACGGCCAAGATTGAACGCGGCGAGCAAGCATCAACGAAACCAGCGAGGACCTAATGCGGGACCCGAGACGGCACAAGAGGCGGCGCGACCTGTGATAGAGGGCCGGTGCCATTGTGAAGGCGAAGTAGAGACTGGTGAGTACGGCAAGGGTTGTTTGGACGATTAAGACAGCCCGGGTTGCTGCCGAGACAAAAGGCCAGACAAATTTGGGGCCGAGCATGGTCGTGGCAGTGATCAGAAACGTCGGAGTCAGGACGGAGCACAGCATTACGAGTGCCTGCGTGAAGGTTCTTCCTCTTCTCATTGTAAAAGTTACTCGGGCGGGTGGGAAGTCGAGGTAAAGATGGATGCGCGAGAGGGTAGAACAGAAAGCACTGTGTTGGTGAAAATGATGTTTGAGTTGAAGGTGACGCGCTGCAACTTGGAGAGCTGGAGAAAAAAAAGTAGGTCAGGCGGAAGGTGTGCCTGTTCAGGACGCTCAGAATCACGCGGGAGTCACGTTACTGAATGGATGCTCTCTAGGCCTAGGTACCTGCTCAGGTAGGGAATGAAGGTTGTGAGGCATGGGCGCCTGCTTCGAATTGGGTCGATGGAAGTTGATGGAACTCTCTGTCTGTGCGGAGGGGATGGATCACCCGCAACTGCCTTGCTATACTGCACCTCCTCCCGGTTTCATTCATACCTGTTTCTTCTGTTTCCTCTGAAGCTCACCACGCGTGGTACGGTGAACTCTGAAGCTCCGGTCTCCTTCCCCGGTCTCCTTCCCCGGTCTGGTTGGCGATGGGGTTGACGGTGAACCAAGGCTACATTTTGTCGATCAAAACCCACCAAAAACTGAACGTCAAAGACTGGTATGAAACAGGCAACTACGGTACCTAGCTTAGGTAACAAAAGTACTAGGCCCTCGCCGCGAACTGCGAACGCACTGGACGTGACGCGCAATTCGAAGTACGCTTGCTTCCCTCCCCCGGCCTATTGCAGAAGTCCGGGGCCAATACGATATAATATCATGTTACCAGCGCACTTGGCATTTTATATCAACATTGCAACAGCATGGAGAATGCAACGAGCGACGTAAAATTATGTTCATTCGAGGATTTTGAGCTAAGGCCACGAAAGGACCTGCGCAGATTTCCGCGTTCGCCGTGTCAACGGCGCCACACACTGTCCATCCCCATCCGGGCCACTCCTTCCCTTTCCTGGGTCACTCCCGGTAACCACCTATCCAGTTTTACAACCTCGGCCCTTTCTATCCTTGAAGCCCATGCCTATCTTGTACCCCCATGAAACCAAACAACCCACCCTCTCCCCGACCATTATTAACGGCACCAATCCCCATTATGACCTGTCCACGCTCCACTGCTCCGTCACCTGGATGCTCTGCTTCTTGGGCCCATGCCTCTGGCTATGCCCCTTCCCTGACTCGACATCGCTCATGCCGCCCCCCCCCCCTCGAATCCGCCCCCAGAATCTCCTCCTCGCTCCCGTTCCACTCCAGCCCGCCGACAACCGTAGCCTCATGGAACGGAGCTCCCGCGCCCAGGTTGTCTCCCGGCGGGCCCCTCTTGTGTGTCTGACCCGACGAGCCAACGGCCCCCGCCCCGCCCGCACCGTCTTTGCTATCCGTGTCCGATGCAATATCGCTCGAGCTGTCGGGGGCCGCGTTCGGCTCGGCGCTGCGGTGCGCCCTCCCCGGCATGGTGCTGCCGCCAAAAGTGCGAAGGCCGAACCCGCGATGGGAATTGATCTCACCGCTTTGACCCTGTCCCTTTTGTTTCTGGTACCCGCCCGACCCGATGCCTGATCCGTAGCTGAGGACGCGGTCGAGCCACTGCTTGTAGAGCGGCCGGCAGATGGGGATTCCGATGCAGATCATGGTGACGGCGATCTCGGCGGCCGACCAGACGATGAGGCCGACTGTATCGTCTGTTTTGTGGCCTAGCGTTAGAAGAGGATCGTTGAGCCTGCAACGGCAGGAGGGAGGTAGTGGGTGCTTACAGGGATAGTCGGCGCTGGAGAGACTGGGGACTTCGACGGTGCGCTTGATGCCGCATGCCCCGGCGCTACAGGTATCACTGGATTAGAACGAGAATGAGAAAGGCGGAATACTTGGGGAGACCTACAACAGACCCAAGCTCAGACTTATTGCGATGACCATCTTTTCGCGTTGGTTCATCTGCAGCTGCCAGAGAAACAGCCAGGGGAATAATGCGAAAAAGAAATCGGCTATAACGCAGAGGACTGGTGGTCGATTGCAGTCAGCAATGCGGCTTTCCGAAGGGAAAAGCCCGAGCATGAGGAGGTAACTTACTGCACAAAGTAAACGAGACAGGGGTCGTGTTGATATGGCAGAAACCACCTGGAATGCGCCGGTCGTATAGGTAGGCTGGCGGCGTGCATTGCAACCAGAACACAAAGCAGACCGAGATGGAAGCCGCCATCAGACTGGCCATGGTGATCCAAATGGCTACCTTGTGCCATGGCTTCGTAACCAACCGCAACAAGAAAAGACCCAGCGACCACTTTGCCACGGCCATGCCGACAACGGCAAATGTTTGCCCGATAGCCTCAAAAAGAATGGTATTGGCAAGGTCGTCCAGGTCCCCTATGTCGGCGACCCTTTGCCCGAACCCATAGTGAGCCGAGACCGTAGTTGCCGCGGTGTAGCACACAAGGAGGAGCTGGAAAGGAAGCAAGAGTCAACACTTGTCTCTACCGTGGATCCGTGGACCGTGGGGCCCAAGACTTACGAATGCAAAGTTGTAAACGTGGTCGTCGACGCCGTAACTCTGCACCACTTTGATCCGTGTGTAGGCGCGGAGGATAACGAAGACGAAGGCCACGACCGTGACAACCCACATGACTGCAACGGCCCAAGGACCCTGACCTCCCATAGCCATCTCGGCGGCTGTTGTTGACGACGGGAACTTGAAAGGGAACGAAAACGGGAACGGGAACGGCGGGTGGTAAGACGAACGAGTGCCGATGCGCCGAGGTGGGTTACCGAGCTAGAAGAAACACAGTCCAGAAAGGGGGACTTTGCTTGTCCTGGAGTCCCGGCTCCTTATACCACAAGCTGCCCTATCCGATGAAGTCGAAGAGAAGTATCCCAGTATCCCAAGCCACGCATATTCGTCGAGCGATATGCACGCCCAGTTCGAACTCGAATTCGAAGAAGCACAAGCTGCAAGCTCTGCGACTGACTTCTATCTCAGATCAGCTGCATTTTTGGATCGGGAACCGAGACAGAGGCGGCGCCTCATCCAGGTTGCCGGGCCTTCGCCAGGCTCGAACTCAAAGTGACACATACGCCCCCAGTCAAGGGGTTCATATTGTCAGGGAACACGCAATTCTGCTTTCAGGGCGCTCCAGCCACAAAAAGCAAGAGACGGGGCCGATCCAGTGATGAAGAGAGACGCGTTGCTTTCCCAATGCTGGAAGTCGCCGTTGCGCCCCATGTCGAAGCGGGTCCAGAACCTGAATCCACCGCCGGCACGGTCCCCGGGAACCGTTGCCGGCTCCGCCGTTGGACGAGACCAGCATGGTTGATTCGGCAAACAGGGGGGTTCTTGCCGGATAGTTATGCAGCTAACCGGACGATCCAAGGATAGTGTAACATGGGGTTGTGTGAAGGCGGCCAGTAAACGATTGCACAAGTGTTGCAAGGCTCCATTTTTGGAAGGTCTTGGTGTCGTCTGTGGATCTACACTACCAATCGTAGCGAGACCCTATTAGTTGTCGAGTTTTCGAAAAGCAAACTGAGCTGGGGCTGGGGAGGAAGTTGTCCGAAACCAAACATAATCCGGACGGATTTTCACTCCTGAGGAGGGAAGACATTCCTGAGGAAGGAAGACCACATAAGTTCCAGGTGGTGTCTTTTTTTTTTTCGCGCATATCCCGGGAACCCCCAAGATAAGGAAACAAAAGGCCAATGAAAAATAGAAGGTGGGAAAAAACGGCCAAATCGAAGACCAGGCAACGATGCCGCCATTGGTAGGCGACGACCCCGCCCCCGCTCCTTCCAGCTCCGGGAGCGACGTTCAACCACGATAGTTCCTGTTTGCTGTAACACTGCGACTGGGTTGCAGGAAGTTCCGGTGGGGCAGTTTTCGGGAATAGTTCCACAGTCTCCTCACTCTCCTGTGGGCTCAGCCTGTGGAAAGAACTCAGGCTCCCCAGCCGCTGGAGGAAACGTGGCCAGCCGTGTCTTTAATGATCCCCAGCGGTATCTGACATTCTGACTGGCCTCAAGGCGACCTGCGAACACGGGTGTGCTCTGCCGTCCCGTTCCTTCCCAAACTCGCACTCGCAGCGGTTGGACCTGTGGACCATGCAGAGATATTTGTCTGCAGCCCAGTAAGAGGGCGACCTGCTGAGTTCAGTCTCTTTGGTTTCGCTAAGAAAAACAATAACCGGCCCGGCTTGAGTCCGGCTAAAAATACCAGCTCTCGCTTTTTCTCTTCTTCCCATTCCCTTTTTTTATTCAAGCATTGATTCGACTTCTTGACGGCCGCGGCAATGTGGGCTGAGCTGGTGTCAAGCCAAGTCGCCTCTTCACGCCACTCCGTCATTGCGTGCTGACTGCCTAACCCCCAAACTGGCTGTTGTGCTTTTCAGTTCAGCCAAGCCTTCCTCGCGGGAGCATTACACCCACTGCCACTCGAGGGACGACTCGGAACGGGTCCTGTGC